GATTATCAACAGAAATATAACAAAAACATTAGGGGAAAAGCTGTCTTGACTGCAAGGCATTTAGGTAAGTATATATGCTGATGGTGACTTAAAATGTCAGCAGGAGCTTTAAGAGGACTTAAATACATCTGTGTAACAACTGATATGTTGCTCAGTATTAGATACCACTGGATATGAAAGCTTATATTAAGGTTGTAGATAGCCTACATCACCAAATCCAACTCACAGAATGTTGCTTGTAGCTGGCTCAGCCGTGTTAGACAAGACATACTCGTAAACTATGCTCCTAAAACCTCTAGGTGGCACAGTAATCTATGCAAGCAAATCCAATCTATCGCAGCTTGAAGCTGTGCTCCAAGACCAGTTTACAGAGGTAGAAAAGTGGATTGTAAAAAACAAACTCTTCCTAAACACTGACAAAATGATCTTGTACCTGAATTACACAAATTACACAATTGCCACCTATCCATCAAAACAAATTCAAATGGCTCAATCTGCCCAGCATCATATAAAACAGCTAAGCTAACTATCTGTGAGACCAGCAGGAATCTCTCCCTACCTGGTGTCTTATTCAGTGCCCTGGTGGGAGCGATCTGTTAGATTAGAGGAGGGGAAATTTTGTCCTCTCTCAGCACCTGCCTGTGACGAAAGTAACCTCGCCACTGGTTTTTGGAGGGGCCTGTTTGCCAGCCTCCTGCCCTGCAATTATGGCCCTGGTATGTATTGCCCTTCTAGGAACTGATGTGGGCATACTTGATTTTATTATGCTGCTGCTGGCCCTTTAAGAACCAATCTAGAGTCCTGTCTCTTATTGGGGGAATTGCTATATCACTACAAGGGATTGCTATGCTCTGTATGCTCCCTTGGATAATCACTTCTAAGCGCTTTTTTTTTTTTTTTTTTAAATATATTTTTATTTGATATAAAGGTTGCCTCGTTCAAATATTCGAGGAGAAGAAGATAATGAACATGCAAACAAAAATTGGTGACGCGCAGGTCACATTGTAACGTTGGAAACAGTGGTTTGTTGGACTCGCAGGTCCCATGAAACATATTCATTAGGTAGTATTTTCACTTGGTGCGATATATGGGGGTATGGACCTACAGGTCCCCCCATACCTAGAGTTAGTGCCCGTGTCAAGAGGTTTCGGGTCGCGTCATGTATCAATGCTTGTTTGTGTGCTCGTGCCAGCGGCCCGCCTGTCCTTAGGTGGTAGGTAGAGTAACGGTATAGTCGCCTTTGTGGCAAGTGCAGAGGCGATTGTATCTCGCAGGCTTCTGCGTGATGCCGCCTTCTAAGAGGTCGGGGGAAACGTTGTCCAACTTGTGGTGTAGGAGTCGAAGTTATAGTGAGTTTTCGTCGCAGTTCGTGCGGTCTGTAGGGGCGTGTGTGTATTGTGAGGGTTCTGTCTGTCGGGGGTCGGGTTACTGTCGGGGTATGTCTTCGTCTGCGGTCGCTTGGTCCACGTATCTGAGTCTGTGCGCGAAGTCGTCTTTGGAGGTCGTCAGGAGCCAGTGTGACCAGATTTCTAGATATTTGTCAGAGGCGTTAGTGGGGCACATGTTAAGTTCTTCCACTGCCCTAAGCTCTTCCATTTGGGCAAACCAAGTAGTCAGTGGGGGTGTGACTGTCTGCTTCCAGAATTGTGGGAGCACCTGTTTGGCTACATTTAACATTCGTATGGTTAGTGATTTCTTGTATCGTGATCTGGGGGTCTTCGTGTGGTGTAGGAGCATGGCCTCGGGTAGGAAGGGTGGTGGTGCATCAGAAAATGTTTGGAGGAAACCGTGTATGCCTTTCCAGAAGGGTCGGATGGCCTCACAGTCCCACCATAGGTGGAGAGTGGTGCCTATGCCAGTATTGCATCTCCAGCAAAGGTCTGAGTTGTCTGGGTTGATAGCGTGGAGTGTGGTCGGGGTACAGTACCAATTTGTAAGGAGCTTAAATGCCGTTTCCTGTGTCTTGCTGAAGACTGAGCAGTGATGCGTTAAGTAGCACATCTTCTCCCAGTCTCCAGCAGTAAACGTTTTACCTAGTGTCTGTTCCCATTTCCCCATGAACTTCGGTAGCTCTGTTAGGGTTTCCCTCTGGAGTGTAGAGTATATGAGTGAGATCCCGTGTGGTTGGGGGTCTGGGTCCATGCATAGTCGTTCGAACGTGGTGGGATCTCTTGTCAGGGCTGTGCCACCTGGGAGTGTGCGTACATAACTTCTTAGTTGTCTATATTTGAGGTGATGTAGTAGGGTGGGAGTGGTTCCTTCTAGAAGGTTAGGGAGTGTTTTGCAGTCAGTCCCGTCGAGTAGATGGTATAGTTTGGGGTCGTCACGGTGTAGTAGATCTCTGAATGCGTTGGGGTCGGAGCCTGGGGGGAAGTCATCGTTGTGGGTCAAAGGGAGGAGGGGGGACGGGTACAGCGCCAATCTGTACCTTTTTGCCGCCCCCCTCCACACCTGCAGTGTCGCTGCCGTGTAGGGCGAGCAATGTTTTCCCCTTCCCCCCCCCGCTTGCCATGGCAGGGTGGACAGTGGCCTCCCAGCCTCCGCTTCCTCCACGTCTTTCCACATTTTGGGCGCCTTCCCTTTTGACCACTCCATGACTCTTTGGAGGTGGCAGGATTCATAGTACAGGGTAAGGTCTGGCATAGCCAGGCCTCCCCTGTCCTTAGGTAATGTCAGCGTGGACATCTTAACCCTCGGTCTGCGATGGTTCCAGACATATTTTCCCATTGCTTGTCTCAGGGTGGCAAAGAAGTGCCTGGGGATAGTGGTGGGCAGGGCCTGCATAAGGTAAAGTAGGCGCGGGAGGAAATTCATTTTTATCACTTGGATCCTGCCTAACCAGGAAATATGTGGGAATGCCCAGTCTGATAGGTCTCGTTTAAATCTGTCTAATAGTGGGGCAAAGTTTTCTTTGTAAAGGTCTGTGGTCTTCTTAGTCAGCCATGTACCAAGGTATTGGATCTTACGGTCCGCCCATTGGAACGTGTGGCTCTGTCTCAGTGGTGTGGCCCTGGCCTCGGACACGCTGACATTCAGGATGTAGGACTTCGAAAAATTGATTTTAAGGTTGGAGATGGCCCCGTATTCCCTGAACGCTTTCAATATGTTTGGTAACGTGATTTCAGGGTTGGTGACAAAGAACAGGAGGTCATCGGCGTATGCCGCTACCTTATGTTGTGTGCCTCCCTTTGTGATGCCCCCTATGTCCATGTCGTGCCGCACGTGGGCCAGGAAGGGCTCAAGTGCCAGCACGAATAGCAAGGGGGACAGAGGGCATCCCTGCCTTGTGCCGTTGTGTATCGTCAGCTCTTGTGTCACTGCGCCGTTGACGATGACGTGTGCCGTGGGTCCGTCGTATAGTGCCTCAACCCAGCTTCTGAAGTGTGGTCCCAGACCTATGTGATTCAGTGTATGGAACATATATTGCCAGTTAACCCTATCGAAGGCCTTCTCCGCGTCCGTGGATAGCAAGAGAAGGCCTCCATCGTTATCACCCCGGCTGTGTATAAGGGTCAGTGCCCTGATTGTATTATCTCTTGCCTCGCGGCCCATGACGAATCCCACCTGGTCCGGGTGTATCAAGCGTGGTATGTGGGTTTGGAGGCGTGTGGCAAGAATTTTCGCCAGCAATTTGACATCGCCATTGATCAATGAGATCGGTCTGAAGTTACCGCAGTATTCCCTGTCTTTGTCCCCCTTTGGGATAAGTGTGATGTGGGCAGTCAGTGACTGTTTAGGGAGTCGATGGCCCTCTCGTAGTGCGTTTAGGGCGTCTAGTAGGGGGGCGTAGAGGTGGTCAGCAAACGTTGTATAGTACTTCAATGGTAGCCCGTCTGGGCCCGGGCTTTTGCCTGTCTTTGTCATTTTGATGGCCAGGGCCAATTCGTCCATTGAGATGGGTTCGTCCAGTTGGGTAGTGGTGTCGTCGTCTAGCGTCGGGAGGGGGTGTGTCGTCAAGTATTTAGAGATTTTCGCCCGAAGGTTTTCCTTCGTCTTGTCCGTTTGGGGCTGTGGGAGGGCGTATAGGTCAGAGTAATATCCCCGTAGTATGTCTGCGATTTTAGAGGGCAGGCGTTGCAGGGTGCCACTAGTGTCCCTCATTTTGTCAATATATGTTGTCTGTCTTTTTTTGGCGAGCATTCTGGCCAGTAGCCTCCCGCTCTTGTTGCCATGGAGTAGGAAGAAGGCTTTATGCCTAACCACCTCTCTGTGGTGCTTTCTGTGGAGGAGGCTGGTCAGCTCACGCCGTAATTGTAGCAATGTCGACTGATGTGCCTGGTGTTGTGCGGTTTTGTTGAGGGAGTCTAGGCTTTGTATTTCTGTCAATAGCTCCTTCATTCGGCAGTCCGCCTGCCTTTTGAGGGTGGCGCTCTGTCTGATCAAGTGTCCGCGGACTACGCTTTTATGCGCCTCCCATCTAATGGTCGGCGATGTGTGTTCCGTCGTGTTCGTCTCAAAGTATTCCTTGAGTTTGTCCCCTATGTCCGTTGTTAGGTCTGGTCTGGTGAGGAGGTAGTCGTTAAGCCTCCACTTAGTGGTTCTCGGTCTGTAGAGGGGGGATGCGAGTGTCAGGGTCACGGGGGCGTGGTCTGACCAGGTCGCTGTTCCGTGGTCCGCATTACGTGTTAGGGGTAGGTGGTAGTGCGTAGTAAAGACATAGTCCAGTCTGGTGTATGTGTTGTGTGGGTGTGAGAAGAAGGTGTAATCTTTCTCATCGGGGTGGTGTGCCCTCCAGCAATCTACCAGTTTATGGCGAGTCAGAAGTGCGTTGATTTGGTTGAGGTGTTGTGTCGGTATGTGGGAGGTGCCGGAGGATGTGTCCCAGCGTGGATGTAGTGCGACATTCAGGTCGCCCCCCACCACAAGAATCACCTCTGCGAAAGATTGCAGCTTTTTAAGTGTAGTCGCAAGGAACCTATGCTGCCTATGATTCGGGGCATATATATTCGCGATGGTATATGTCTGACCCGCTAATGTGCCCCTTATGAATAGGTATCTGCCTTCCCTGTCCGTCATCTGGCCCCTCTCTTCAAAGGGAATTCGTTTGTTGATTAGGATGGCTGTACCCCTGGATTTCCCTGCGTGGTAATCACTGTAATACCCCGTCGGGAAGTGGTGGTTAGTCAGTTTCGGTCTGCAGCCTTCCCTAAAGTGTGTCTCTTGTATCAGTACGATGGATGCTCTGTTGGCGTGGAAGTCTCTCAGCGCCCCAGAGCGTCTCTCTGGTTTGTTGAGGCCTCTGGCATTGATAGAGAGGATGGTGAGGTCGTCTGGTGTGAGGGCCATTTGCGTCTCGGCGGGGTGGTGGGTGTGCCTGTAGGTCCGTGCGTCTCAGTCTGGTCTTAGGTGTCTTGGGGGTGGTACGTCAGGTGGGTCCGTCTGAGTGGGGTTGGTGGGTAAGGGAAACGGTGGGAACGGGAAGTGCGTGTGTGTGGGGTCTCGTCCCCTGTGGGCGACAAGGAGGAATTAGCGACGGGGAGTGGGAGGTCCGCGGTCTCCTACGGTCCGCGGATTCCCCTCACCTTTTAAGAGTCGCTGTGTCCTACCGGGTCGTAGGAGGAGGTAAGAGGAGTCCAGGTGGGGCCAGCCCTCCCTGGGTCTGTGTGGTCGGCAAATACCTGAGAGTAGTGTCTCGGTCTCTGCTCGTCGGGTCCCTGTGAGATCCCTGGTCAGCTCTAGGTCGTGGAAATCGTGTTGGTGATATGATCCTCATCAGTGTGGTTCCAGGTCATGTGGCCATGGGCTGGCCGTGAGTGGCCATGTGAGTGGGCAGGTGTGAGGCATCGTAACTGTGCATAAAAACAATAGCAATAACATGTAAACTTATACAGATATCAACAGCGTATTCCGCGTTACTGGCACCCTTGTCAGAGGGCACGGGCGGCTGCACCCTGTTCCCCGGTCCCCACCCCGGTGAGCACATCCCCACCTCTGGTCAGGACCCCAATCCCCCCTGGGGCAACCCCCTCGTCTCTAAGTCTCCTCAGTTGCTCCTCGTCGCGTTGGTGTCTAGTTAAGTCAGTAGGCGGGGTACATGGCATGAGGGCTGAGTTGATCAGTACTTGTGGGTCTCGGGGGTGGAGGTCAGGTTCGTTTTGCCCGGTCTCCTAGCATGTCCCCTCTCCCTCCCCACGGGTTATGTGCGTTCTTGGGCTGTGGGTAAGTGAGTGAGTGAGCCCCGCCGGTGGGGCCCCCCGCCTGCTCGCTCGGGTCATCACAGGTCTATCAGGGCCCCAGCGGCGTGGCCCAGTCGGAGTGCGTCCCCGCCCGTGTGGTCAGGGTAGGCCGCCCCCCGTCTGTTTCTCAGTGCATTCCCGCCCGACTCTAGGAGCATCTCTCCCCTGCGCCATCCCCCACCTGAGCCCTGTCTGCCCACATATGCCCCCCCTCCCCATGGGGACTCCCCGGACCCCCATCCCTGTCAATGGAGGATGGCCTGGGCTTCACGCAGGAAATCAGTGCAGTAAATGGATGCCCCGGTATTCCCCTAGCCCCCTGCCCCCCCCTCCCGCATTTGTCAATTACCACATAGCGGCCAATGTAGGCCTCTGAAGGATAGCAAAGGGTTAGAGTCTCGGATGAGGAGAGTGACCCAAGGGGTGCTACTTGCGGATATGCGCTGCGGTCGTCTCCAGGTCACTTATGCCGCAGTCCCTGAAAGCCTGGTGGCTTGCTGGCGGGATCCCCTGCTTCTGCGGGGCAGGGATGAGGGTCCTCGTGTGTCAGAGTTCATCATGTAAAAAGCAGTAGGGTCCGGCCATGTCATATGGATGGGAGGGAGGTTCAGCTCCACAATTAAGTCGTTTAGATCTTCAGGGTGACGGACCGTGAAAGTGCCCTCCGCAGTGATGGCCTGCAGCCCAGTCGGGAAATTCCATCGGTATCGAATCTTTCGTGTTTGGAGAGCTCTGGTAAGGGGCCTCATCGCCCTCCGGTAGGCCAAGGTGGCCGGGGAGAGGTCGGGGTAAAGCTGCACCTCCACGCCGTTTAGTACGATCCGCTCCAGTCCGCGTGCTTTGCGCAGTATGTCTTCCTTAAGTTGGAAGTCTGCCAGGCAGCAGACCGCGTCTCTAGGGGGAGCCTCCGGCGGGCCTCTCGGTCTTAGCGCCCGGTGGGCCCTGATAAAATCAATCTTGGTGGGTGCTGGGCGGCCCAATATTTTATTAAACAGTTCCTTGAGAGTGTCCAGAATCGGCGTGGATTGGTCAGTGTCCTCTGGGATGCCTCTCACCCGAATATTTTGGCGTCGGCCACGATTGTCTAGGTCTTCCAGGTGTAGGGCCATTTGCTGCATCAGAGCAGTATGGCTCTGCATGGTGGTCGTTGTGGCAGACTGCGTGGATGTCAGGTGGTCGCAGTCCGCTTCCAGCTGAGCCACCTTGGTGTGGAGGCCTTGAATGTCTTCCCTGAGGGAGTGCAGCTCCGCTGTAATGGAGGACCGCAGTTCAGTGTTGGCCTCCTTGAGGTCTTGTTTCGTCGGGAGTGCCCTTATGAGTTGCACCCATTCAGGTTGGGGGTCCAGGGGTGTCTGGGTTGGCGGTGTCTGGCGGTCGCCACGTGGTGATGCTGGGCGGGAGGCGCCGGGCGCCTCTGAATCGTTGGAGGCCTGAGATGCCGTGTCGGCGTGGGACAGCAGGTATTGCCGCATGGAGGAGGGAGCGGTGCTTTTCGGCGTGTCGGCGGACTTGGCAGAGTGCGATGCCCGGTGAGTTTTGCCCATGGTCTCTCCGGTGGTAGTGCTGGGATGAGGATTTTAGCCGAGCTTGCTGGGGAGCTCCGGGTTTACGCCGCCATCTTCCTCGGCCTCCAAGCCACGCCCCTTCTAAGCGCTTTTAAGAGCTTGTTCCTGCTTCACTCTCTTGGAGGAGAGGTTCACCCACTGGAACCTGAAGCCTTGTCGTAGGTCCAGGGTGGGTAGGAGACGGCGAGACCCCAACCAAGCTGCGGCAGTTCGTGGGGTCTACGGTAGTTGTGGTGTCTGGAGGAGCACTTGGAGCCCTCTGTAAGCGCTAGGAGCATCCTTCAACGGAGGTACCCAGTCGGGGTGCCAGGCGATCCGTTACACTCCCCTCTCTGGGGTTAAAGTTGAACCCCTGCAGGCCCCTGGGAGTTTCAGTACAAGCTGCAGAGGCTAGCATGCCAGCAGCACCTAAGCACCGACCCAAGTTCCAGCCAGCTGGCCATGCTGCAAAGAAAATCTTGGGTTCCAACTTCTCCATCCATAGCAAAGGGTGAGTGACAGTGTGATCTTGTGTGCTAGTGACCTTCTGTGTGCATGTAGTGTGCTTGTGTTTAGTGATCCTGTGTGCTAGTGACCTTCTGTGTGCATGTAGTGTGCTTGTGTTTAGTGATCCTGTGCTAGTGACCTTCTGTGTACTTGTAGTGAGCTTGTGCTTAGTGATCCCGTGTGCTAGTGAGCTTGTGTGTGCATGTCAATAAGCTAGTGTTTAGTGAGCTTGTGTTTAGTAAGCTTGTGTGTGTCATTGTGCTTGTGTGTGTCAGTGAGCTTATGTGTGTAATGAACTTGTGTTTAGTGAGTGTGTGTGTGTCAGTGAGCTTGTGTCTGTGTGGTGAACTTTTGTGTAGTGACATTGTGGGCATGTCAGCAAGCTGTCTGTAATGAGCTGTGTAAGCTTGTGCGTGTATGTCAGTGAGCTTGTGTGTATTGAGCTTTTGTTTGTATCAGTGAACTTTCTGTAGCAAGCTGTGTGTAGTGAGTTTATATGTCAGTGTGTGAGTGTAGTGAGCTTGTATCTGTTAATGAGCTTTCTATAGTGAGATATATGTAGTGAGTTTGTCTTTGTGTGTGTATGTGCAAGAACCAATTCTGAATTAAAAAAAAAAAAAAGATGTGTGTGTATATATATATTACACAATTTCAATTTGGGAATACAGGAAGGTTTGGCCAGGACATTGTATATTGGGGGTGGCGGTGCTCAGACATCTTAAGGGGTCAAGGTCTGAGCTGTGGTGGGGGGACTGATAGGTAAATTGGGGGTGGAATGGGTTAGAGATTGAATTAATTATGTGTTTTTAAAAGTTGGTATGGCAGGTTTCAAAATGCCTGTGGCTCAGAACCTGGGGGTGTTGGGGTATCTCGATGTACCCCTACATATGCTCATTTGGGAAAGTTGGAATGGTAGGTTTCAAGTTGGCTTGTGGCTCAGAACCTGGGGATGTAGTGGTATCTCGGTATACCCCTACATTGGATCATTAGGACAAGTTGGTATGGTAGGTTTTGGTCTGGCCTGTGGCTCTGAACTTGGGGTGGTAGGGGTATCTTGGTATAACCCTATATTGCATCATTCAGGCAAATTGTTTGCACTTTATTATGTTTCATGATGTTATTTATGCTGTTATATTGTTATGATGTTATATTATTAATATTGGGGTCATTGTAATGTTGTGGGGGATTAGTTATAAACTGTGTCATAGGGTTTGTTTAACAATGACTTTTTGTATTAAAATTGATATTATATTATATTAAAAGTTGGGGGCTGAATTTTACCCAACATATTGATGTCCATGCATTATTGTTTTATTTTTTTATTTTTTTTATTCTTAATGCCCAAGGGTACGACTATGCGCCGGTCATGCTGGAGACGCACACAGACTGCTGGGTACACAGACACAGACTGCTGGGTACACAGACACAGACTGCTGGGTACACACACAAACTGCTGAATACGCACACATAGACTGCTGAATACGCACACATAGACTGCTGAATATGCGCACACATAGACTGCTGAATACACACACAGACTGCTGAATACACTCAGAGACTGATGAATACATACACTCACTGCTGAACACACATGCACACACACAGACTACGGAATATACACACAGACACCTACTGCTGAATACACAAACACATATACTGCTGAATACACATATACTGCTGAATACACAGACTGCTGAATACGCACACAGACTGTTGAATGCATACACAGATTGCTGAATACACGCAGAGACTGATGAATACATATACTAACTGATGAATACACACACAAACACACACACTGCAAGCAGCCCTCTACTTTCCCTGTGCCTCCTGTATGGGTGTTAACTGGGAGGAAGTGACTGACGTTCACTTACTCCCAGCACTGCCTTGATCATAAAAAGGGCCTGTATTAAGAGACACAGCACACAACCGGGCCCCTTAAGACATTTGTCCATCGGGTGGCCCTAAGTGAATTGGGCCCTTAGCATGTGGTCCCCGGTGCATCCTGGTGTTGGGAGCCACTGCACAGAGATAAGGGGGTTAAAGAAAAAAAATTTAA